TAAATTTAAAGCAACATGTTTTAAAGTTAAATCGGGTAATCGTGCCTTTTTTCCTGAGCAACAGAATTTAATGGGACTTATATTTTCAGGAGTTAGTGATAAACCATCTCTAGCTAAAACTATATGTAAATATTGCACTCAGAAGTGTGAAACATAACTTGAATTTCAAAAGACAGTGCAAAAGAGTCAACAATATCTCAAATCCACTATGGATATGAGAGGACTAGATGAGAAACTAAAACAAAATAGACATGAAAATGGCACTGAGGGAAGCGAACACAATCCACGACACTTGGTGAATAAAATTTACAGGGCTTTTTTATTTTTAGTAAAATAATATTTATTTTTTATTTTATTTATTTATTTTTTTATAGCGCATCAACAAAAGAGAAATGCATTTTTCCGAAAGTGGCAGTGAATCTGAAATAGATAACATTATAATTGATTCATCCACAGCAGTAAATTAATGTCCATATTGTCAACGAGAGTTTAAACGCAAGACCCATTTAAATGACCATGTCAGATTGGTCCACGAAGAGATTCGTCCCCATAAATATGGCTTTTGCGAACGCTCATTTGGACTGCCCAGAACCTTATGCATCCATATAATGGGTCACACAAAAGAGCGTCCCTTCACGTGCAATATTTGTCAGAAATCGTTTCGGCAAAAGACTGAATTGAATCTTCATATGAATAACCATTTGTCTAACTCGCAATTTAGATGTCCAAGGGACCTAGACTCCCACATATCTCGGCACAATAACAAGGAAGGATATCAGTGCAATACGTGTGGACAAAAATTGAAGAAACTTTGTCATCTGAAAGAACATGATGATGCAGTGCATCTAAAGCTACGTCCCTTTATATGCACCCATACTAACTGTGGAAAGGCTTTCGGTGCACACAAAACTTTCCACACACATCAAAGGACGCATACGGGAGAGCGCCCATACAATTGGAATATGTGTAATAAACCATTTTCGAGCAAGGCAAGTCTTTCTCGACATGTACATTCTCATAATGAAACGCTCGTGAAAGAATAACTTATTGAATAAATATAGTAGTCACCAAAAATGAAATGATTTGCTCGCTTTAATTATTCCGTTTTCGAATTCCAGCCATTATGAAATATCGTTAGAAGTATCAAAACTACATATCGATAGTTAGAAATAAGAAACATATCGGCAGAGCAATCGATTGGCTATCGTAAAAAAAGCGCGCAGGCACAAGGAAAGCCGGAATAAATTTGGACTTGTTCTGTTAACTGGTAAAGGTGTTAAATAATAAGCTTCAATGGCACTTTGGGTAGACAAATACCGACCCCGTGAACTATCCAAACTGGATTATCATAAGGTAAACATATATTTGATGTGGTGTGGGATTCTTTGACCCATATTGGTAATATTTTAGGACCAGGCTGAAAATCTACGCAATCTATGCAAACAAAGTGATTTTCCACATCTCATGTTTTACGGCCCATCCGGAGCTGGCAAGAAGACCCGGATAATGTGTCTGTTGCGTGAAATGTATGGGGCCGGAGTGGAGAGACTACGCAACGAAACAATGAACTTCACAACGCCTTCAAATCGAAAGATTGATATAATGACAGTGGGAAGCAACTACCACCTGGAGGTGAATCCCTCAGATGCTGGCATGTACGATCGGACTGTTGTCATAGACTTAATCAAGCAAGTGGCACAAACGCATCAAATAGACGTCAACGGCCAACGCGAGTTTAAAGTAATTGTTATCTCTGAGGGAGACGAACTCACCAAAGACGCTCAGCATGCGCTGCGTCGCACTATGGAAAAATACGTCGCCACATGCCGCATTATACTCTCCGTCAATTCTACGTCTCGCATCATTCCAGCCATCCGCTCGCGTTGCCTGGGCATCCGAGTGCCAGCACCAAGCGAGGCGGAAATGATAGCCGTCCTACAAAACACATGCAAGCGCGAGGGCCTCGTATTGCCGCCAGAGTTGGCCAAGCGCGTGGTCGAGAAGTCCGAAAGGAATATGCGAAGAGCTCTACTAATGTTGGAGGCCTCCAAAGTGCAGCAATACCCCTTCACAGCGCAGCAGCAAATCGCCGAGCTGGACTGGCAAGTGTATCTGCGCGAGACAGCAGCCCAAATTGTGAGCGAACAAACGCCAGCCAAACTGGAAAAGATTAGGGATCGTTTATACGAACTGCTTTCACAAGGCGTGCCACCGAATCTCATCTTTCGTGGACTCGTTGAGCAGCTGGTTAACAACTGTGATATGTCCATCAAGGCCAAGACATTGGAGTACGCAACACAATACGAGCATCGCATGCAGAATGGAGCAAAGCATATTTTCCATTTGGAGGCATTCGTGGCGCAATTTATGAACATCTACAAAAAGTTTCTAGCCGAACTGGCGATGACTGATGATTTTTAACATAATTATAATAATATATATATAATCTTTCAATGAAACCCACAAAATACATTAGAAACTCTTAACCGAATATTTGCTGCTGCTGTCGATTTTGTCTGTCAGTTAATATGGCTAACTTCATTTTATCGTCAGTGGTGCGCTTCACGGTCTCAATATATCGGGCAACCTCTTCCTCCAGCTTGGCATGTGCCTGCAATTGATCAGTTACGAATATGTGAGATTTACAAGCACAATTGGGATCACTTACCACTTCGTATTCGATATGGTGACTGCCATTGACGTGCAGGCCGTGCAGGAGTAGATCTATTGTGTTGATGGGGAACGCCAGCTGTGGACTGGTCACGTTCACTGAATGCTGAAAGTCGAAATATTCGCTACCTGCTCCCAGCATGGCGCCAATCATTTCGCATGCCAAATCGGCTGCGTCGAGCAAGCGATTATGCTTCACCAGCAAATGAAGCAGCTCCCGGGAGTTAGCCAGCTTGTATGAGTCGTACAGCCATTGGGGCAGAAATGCATTCAAGTTAAGTATACGATTAGCGACACATTTGCGTATTGAAGTCGATTCATTCAGCTCATTGTCGACCACTAGTTTTTGCAGCAGCGACCAAGCCATGTCCGCTGCACTGCTGCGATGAGGCAGATCTATAAAACAGGATATATATTTATTTTGCAGGTTTAAATTCGATCAATTGAATTGATTTATACCGGCTAAGTCATTGTTCTGCAGCCAGCACCAAGCATCCTTAGTCTTATCCTCAGAGATGCTAACACAGGCAGCCGTCAGACTCTCGAATATGGGCAGCACAGAGAACGAATGGCCCCGTGCCAGCTTCAGAGCTGCTGTATATAGACCACAAGTGGCCAAAAGGTAAGAGAGCTCCTCAGCGTCGGCCATTTCATAGGCGCCGACATCCTTGCGATGTTGCGCCAGTTCTTTTAGAGCCTCTGCGTGTAGCAGCTCTCGACGAATATCGCTTAATTCAAGTACAACGACTTCATGGACTCTTTCAATCTCTTGTAAATCGTCCTCGTTGCTGGACATTTCCATGGCAGCCTTATCATCGCCAATTGTGGGCTTAGCAATCCATCTATAGCGACTATCCACCAAATACAGTGAGTTTATGCAAACCAGTAACGACGAGCATCGTTTCTGGAGCGCATCGGGTGCATCGCTGTCCACGTGTAGACGCATGGCCTGCTCGTACATGACAGTCGCAGCTGTGAAAGCAAACATTTATATAATCAAAGTACTATATATATATTCAATTAAATTACCTTTACGCATATTTCCTTTGTTTGAATGAAATGCGTACAGAAAATTATAGACTTCGTTCTGATCGATACTCAGCGATCGTGCACGAGACTCAACGATGTTCTCGAATTCCTCTTGCAGGCTATTATAAGGCAATTGCATGAGCAGATCAAAGCGTTTGCATTGGAATAGCATTATGACCAACTGACGTAGACAATCCTTTCGACGCGACGTATCCGCATTGTAGACCAAAGCATGATAGGCCTCCTCGTAGTGGCCCAGTTGCAAATGGTTATTAAATACTATAGACTGGAACATGGGCAATTGGGGATCATCCACAGTCAGCCTGTTCATAGCTACATGGGCCAATTGAATGATATAATCGTGTGCCGAATGCTGTTCAAATAGCTGAATAACTTTGAGGTAATAATGCACCAAGGCCTGTTTGGTTTCGGCTTTTGTTGGCACAATTTTCTGTCGTTTGAGAACGTTTGAAAGCGTGGAATAGAGTGGAGTGTTTTTCAGTACATGCTGAAACAAAAATGGCTCCTTGAGCACACTCTCTTGAACTTGCTCGAACAGATTAATTGCTTTATGTGGTTCGCCGCAATCCAAAAGCGAAACTGCCAGCATGAAGCTTCCTGAAATATAATAATAGTTAGCCACCGAACCTAGCATAAGAATCTTCAATATGTATATGTATTTACGTGAATCAGTTTTCTCGGCACACCAGCCCGACAATAAGCGTTCATAATCTTGAATAATGATATGATGGCATGTGCCAAAAAGCCATTCAGGGAATACATCATTCCATGCCTCTGGCCAGCTGAGATAAAATGTGTAAATTATTATAATGAACAGAATCAAAGTATCTTTCCTACTTACAGCATTTGATTAATGCAGCCAACCAACTGTAGCAAAATCTGGCGCATTGACAACTGCTGCACTAATGCATTGGGCTCCTTCAACAGCATCGAGAGTGCGCTAAATAAGCCCTTTGACTGCAAGAACAGGCATAAGAGCGTTGTTTGGTTGTTCAAATATATTTTGCTCGAATAGGGCCTCGTATATCCACTGAAAAGCTGTGCACGCGTCAAACGCTGAATAGAAACCTCACTGCACATGTAAAAAATAAACAAAAGGTTAAACGATTCTTAACATAAAATAATTAGTTGCATATTACAAGTTAACTGGCGTATTGAGGGAAATTGGTGTCTCGGAAATCCAGACAAGTGTGTAGTAGGAGTTCAAGAAATTGACATTAGTTGTAATAGTGTAGTCGCTCTTAGAAGAACTTCCATATAGAATGTACTGTATAATCAAAAGATTTCGGCAAACGGCAAAGCTGACAAATAAAATAAAAATATATTATTTAAATATATTATCAAACTGTAATTTGATTCCCACCGTATCATTGCCATTTGCTTGACAGTCTCAGCGAGAATCGAAATTCCATATTCGCTGCCAAACAATGCTCCTGTCGACTGGAGAAACCTTGTGGACTTCGAGTAACCGCCTGAAAGTTATGATTCCAGATTTAGCAGCAGTCAAGAAATGCAATTGACTTTATTCGAAATATACCTGCGGAGTCGGGATACGCATCTTCGTCGACAATGGCAAGGAAATCAAGCAACATATTAATGGCTGCATCCACAATCGGGATCGATATCAGCTTCTTTCTGATTTTCTCGACGGTTCCAATCGGCAGTGCGATTCCATCGTTATCATCGTTATCATTATTTTCATCACTCTTTGTAATTTGAATCAACAATTTTGAAAGAACTTCATCGTCGCGTTGGTAGATTTTCTTTTCCATTTCGATTTTAATATCTTCGCTCAAAATCTTCTCCAATTGGTTGATGACCACCATTAGTTCAATAAACCCGTGGGCAGCTACAATATCGTTTTGGCAATAAGGTGCCACAAATGATACCACATTCGTGTTGTGTTCCCCGACAAGCATTAAATGTTCGAGCATTTCACATGGACGCAGCAACGCAAAGGATTGCCTTCGAATAATGCAAACAGCATCCATGGCACCCAGAACGGATAAGCCCGTTGGCTCAGAGAACTTGACGTGATATTGCTCGCAGCAGGAGTAGAAACGATCCCAGAGTCTGGTCGCAATCTCCAAATACTCATCGTCGCTAACAACAAAGTCTTTCAGTTCATTTTGTATCTCATCCTCGACCGTCTGACAGACCTGCTCCTTGAGCATACCCATTGTTATCTGCTTCATATCAAACTGCATGTTAGCGCGCATGAACATCTGTGTAAAAAAAATAACCATAATTAATTTCTCATCGTTAGACAGATATAACTGGGAGCTTACATAAAGTGCCTTGGCGATCACGTTAATATCAAATCGACCCGGATGAAATATATAGGAACAGTATGCTTCTCGTGGGTCGACACCTTGCTCTATGGTGAGGCAATATCGATCCGGTGGAGGCTCCAATGCAGCAGACACCCATTTAACTGACTTGTCTTCATCTAAGAAAATTGCCGACACATTGAATTCCCCCTCAGCATTGCTCCACAATGTCCAAATATGCGAGCAAGTAGCATCGAAGTCAGCTAAATCCATTTCGGGAGCTGGCACCTTATGCCGCAGCGTCAAGCCTACAGTTTTAGTGTTTGCGTCGTTCGCTTGATTGCAATCAATGCTTAGACAAATGAATTCGGATTCCTTTTCATGCGACAAAAATACACAGAAATTATGATCATCTATTTTGCGTAGCAAACTGTTTTGTGCTAAATATATAAACAAATAATTAGATAAATATGATTACATTTTTAGAGCTTATAAAACTTACGACCCTGAGCACCGTGAGAGTCGACACAGGCATAAGAGGCAACACTCTGTAAAGTGGCCACCGACCACAATCGAAGCTCGTTGTTTCTATAAAGAACCAAGAGAAACATTTCACCTTCGATACGACTAAATGCCATTGATACAGCTCCCTCTAAACTTTCGCCTCGACCACTGCAATGGAATTCAATCACTATTTATTTAATAAGTTATCTACTTCAAGACTTACATCAGGGCGCCTTTAAGGTTGCTTAAAAATCGCGGCATTAAATGCGACTCTTTAATTTCATGTGAAACCGTGCCGCCCGTTCGACTGTTCATAATGTAAAGCATAAGTTTTGAATGATAGTCGACTGCAAAAAAGGCCTCGTCTTTATCTCCCAACATATCGGAGGCTGCAAGATGTGGCACATTGATAGCCATGGTTCCATCTAGCACATAGAATGTGCTGCGGTCCTTCAAGAACGCGGAAGCATCATAAAATATGGAATTCCTATGCGAATCGAGTGAATTAGATGATGATAATTTTGTATTATCCATGTGCAATGGAAACACAATCCTATGAATGCTGCTGACGGTCACCGCCAACAGATTGACGGTGTCTCCCTGCTCGGCGAGCGAGACATTTAGAATCGCGGAATCCGTAAAGCGTAAACGAAGGTGGTTTCTCAGAAGCGATACATCTAAGCTAACTTCAGATAGTTCCACTATATCTTGATATGTACGCCTGGAATAATATGCATCCGTTAATCAAATATGTATTTCATTATCCAACCAATGCTTACCAATAAATAAAGCGATTCCTATTTTGGCCATTGGTCGAACAATTGTAGCAATAGCTACCCGACTTGCCAAAAGTTTTGATATCCTGCAGTGTACTTTGTGTACCTATTTCAGCCAGAAAATAAATACATTTAGCATTCTTTACCAAACCTCTCTAAGGCTACAATGGAATGGTACCACGCAACGCACCTGTA